GGTGGTAGATATAGACAGGTGGTAGATATAGACAGGTGGTAGATATAGACAGGTGGTAGATATAGACAGCTGGTAGATATAGACAGGTGGTAGATATAGACAGGTGGTAGATATAGACAGGTGGTAGATATAGATAGGTAGTAGATATAGACAGGTAATATATATACACAGGTGGTTGATATAGACAGGTGGTAGATATAGACAGGTGGTAGAAATAGACAGGTGATAGTTATAGACAGGTGGTAGATATAGACAGGTGGTAGATATAGATAGGTGGTAGATATAGACAAGTGGTAGATATAGACTGGTGGTAGTTATAGACAGTAGTATATATACACAGGTGGTAGATATAGATAGGTGGTAGTTATAGACAGGTGGTAGATGTACACAAGTGGTAGATATAGACATGTAGTTATAGACAGGTGGTAGTTATAGACAGGTGGTAGATATAGACAGGTGGTAGATATAGATAGGTGGTAGTTATAGACAGGTGGTAGATATAGACAGGTGGTATACATAGATAGTGGGCAGACATAGACAGGAGGTAGATACATACAGGTGGTAGTTATAGACAGGTGGTAGATATAGACAGATGGTAGATATAGACAGGTGGTATATATAGATAGGTGGTAGATATAGACTGGTGGTAGATGAAGACAGGTAACAGATATACACAGGTGGTAGATATAGACAGGTGGTAGAAATAGACAGGTGGTTGTTATAGACAGGTGGTAGATATAGATAGGTGGTAGAGATAGACAGGTGGTAGATATAGATTGGTGGTAGATATAGACAAGTGGTAGATATAGACAGGTGGTAGTTATAGACAGTGGTATATATACACAGGTGGTAGATATAGATAGGTGGTAGTTATAGACAGATGGTAGATGTACACAGGTGGTAGATATAGACATGTAGTAGCTATAGACAGGTGGTAGATATAGATAGGTGGTAGTTATAGACAGGTGGTAGATATAGATAGGTGGTAGTTATAGATAGGAGGTAGATATAGACAGGTGGTAGATATAGACAGGTGGTAGATATAGACAGGTGGTAGATATAGATAGGTGGTAGTTATAGACAGGTGGTAGATATAGACAGGTGGTAGATATAGACAGGTGGTAGTTATAGACATATGGTAGTTATAGACAGGTGGTAGATATAGATAGGTGGTAGTTATAGACAGGCGGTAGATATAGATAGGTGGTAGTTATAGATAGGAGGTAGATATAGACAGGTGGTAGATATAGATAGGTGGTAGTTATAGACAGGTGGTAGATATAGACAGGTGGTATATATAGACAGGTGGTAGTTATAGACATATGGTAGTTATAGACAGGTGGTAGATATAGATAGGTGGTAGTTATAGACAGGTGGTAGATATAGATAGGTGGTAGTTATAGACAGGTGGTAGATGTACACAAGTGGTAGATATAGACATGTAGTTATAGACAGGTGGTAGTTATAGACAGGTGGTAGATATAGACAGGTGGTAGTTATAGATTGGAGGTAGATATAGACAGGTGGTAGTTATAGATTGGAGGTAGATATAGACAGGTAATATATATACACAGTTGGTTGATATAGACAGGTGGTAGATATAGACAGGTGGTAGATATAGACAGGTGGTAGTTATAGACAGGTGGTAGATATAGACAGGTGGTAGTTATAGATTGGAGGTAGATATAGACAGGTAATATATATACACAGGTGGTTGATATAGACAGGTGGTAGATATAGACAGGTGGTAGAAATAGACAGGTGATAGTTATAGACAGGTGGTAGATATAGACAGGTGGTAGATATAGACAGGTGGTAGATATAGATAGGTGGTAGATATAGACAAGTGGTAGATATAGACTGGTGGTAGTTATAGACAGTAGTATATATACACAGGTGGTAGATATAGATAGGTGGTAGTTATAGACAGGTGGTAGATGTACACAAGTGGTAGATATAGACATGTAGTTATAGACAGGTGGTAGTTATAGACAGGTGGTAGATATAGATAGGTGGTAGTTATAGATAGGTGGTAGATATAGACAGGTGGTATACATAGATAGTGGGCAGACATAGACAGGAGGTAGATACATACAGGTGGTAGTTATAGACAGGTGGTAGATATAGACAGGTGGTAGATATACACAGATGGTATATATAGACAGGTGGTAGATATAGACAGGTGGTAGAAATAGACAGGTGGTAGTTATAGACAGGTGGTAGATATAGAGATATGTTAGTTATAGACAGGTGGTAGATATTGATATGTGGTAGTTGTAGACAGGTGGTAGATATAGACAGGTAATAGGTATACACAGGTGGTAGATATAGACAGGTGGTAGATATAGACAGGTGGTAGATATAGATAGGTGGTAGTTATAGACAGGTGGTAGATATAGACAGGTGGCAGATATAGACAGGTGGTAGATATACACAGGTGGTAGATATAGACAGGTGGTAGATATAGGCAGGTGGTAGTTATAGATAGGTGGTAGTTATAGACAGGTGGTAGTTATAGACAGGTGGTAGATATAGACAGGTGGTAGTTATAGACAGGTGGTAGATATAGACAGGTGGTAGATATATACAGGTGGTAGTTATAGACAGTAGTTATAGACAGGTGGTAGTTATAGACAGGTGGTAGATATAGACAGGTGATAGATATAGAAAGGTGGTAGATATAGACAGGTGGTAGTTATAGACAGGTGGTAGATATAGACAGGTGGTAGATATATACAGGTGGTAGTTATAGACAGTAGTTATAGACAGGTGGTAGTTATAGACAGGTGGTAGTTAGAGACAGGTGGTAGATATAGACAGTTGGTAGTTATAGACAGGTGGTAGATGTATACAGGTGGTAGATATAAACAGTTGGTAGAGATAGACAGGTTGTAGATATAGACAGGTGGTAGATATAGACAGGTGGTAGATATAGACAGGTGGCAGATACAGATAGGTGGTAGATATAGACAGGTGGTAGATACAGATAGGTGGTAGATATACACAGTTGGTAGATATAGACAGGTGGTAGTTATAGATACAGAAGGTTCTTCTGGCAATCCTTCAGATTTGATTCTGTGGGTATGTGTTTGTTAGTGCTATTTTTCCAGTAATATTCTAACTTTTTCCTCATAACTATGACTTTGGCTTGAAAATATTAATTAATCTGATAATTATTTCACTGTAATTAATCCCCAATCTGCATCACTGACAATATATTTACAATGTAAGATGGTTGTTTTATAAAACTAGAACTTTGTGAATTTTGTTCCACGTTTTAGTCATTACTGCAGGTTATCAAAGACATGTGAGCGCGGATGAAACACTGATTTTATGTTCTGGATCTTAGAATTAAACAGCACATTGATTTAGCCCACTTAGTTTTGGGCCATAAAAAGTAAATAACAAAAGAGACCCTTATAACAGTGTGAGACAATTCAATTATCGAGAATGAAATTTGCCACAAAAACTGGCAGATTATCATTAAGCAATTCAAAAACAGAAATTTGATACAGGGTGCAATTTCTGTTTGGCAGTTGACAGATTAAAAACCAATAAAAACACCTCAAGAAATAACATACAGTTTTATCTGATTTTGTTCACTTGACAAAGAACTGAAATAATAATATCATTTTTGTTGTGTTGACAGCCCGGAGACAAGTCTGTTAATTTATATAGTAACCCTAAAACATCCATGTTTTATTTCTTTGAAGAAATAAAATGGGAATTTAACTCAATTGTACCATATCCTAGTACATATTAATACTGTGTTTTGTTTATTGTTGTAAGATTGTATTTCTCAATGATAGAAAAACAAAAAATTACTGAACATCAACTCTCATATCAACTACTACATATGAACACCCTGAAAAACACCTCAGCTTTACCGTTCAGTATCAATGATTTCATCATTTTTTTTAAAATTTCAGACAACAACTAGTATATCTTCAGTCTTCAGTTCTGAATTTTATGTACTTAGTCTACAATAGTCAACACATGAACAAAAAGCTTGGCTTTGACTTTATTCTTATAATTGATGACTTGTTTACAAGACAAACAAGTCAAACATTACAACAGGCATAAAGCATTGAATACTGGTTACTAACACTTAATGATGGTAAAATTCTTAATCAGTTTGCTGACACAAAGTTTCAATCACACCTCAAAGGTAACATAAGGGAGACAACTCTGACATTACAGGTAAGAAAAATAAACAAAGGGAGTTTTTTAGATACATTAGAGATTTGCAGACATACAGTACAGATATGCAGACATACAGGTGAGATAGGAATACATACAGTAGAGACAGGCAGACATACAGGTGAGAAAGGCAGACATACAGTACAGATATGCAAACATACTGGTGAGATTTGCAGACATACTGGTGAGATAGGGATACATACTGGTGAGATAAGGAGACATAAAGGTGAGATAGGGAGACATACTGGTGAGATTTGCTGACATACAGTGGAGACAGGCAGACATACAGGTGAGATAGGCAGGCATACAGTGGAGCTGGGAGACATACTGGTGAGATTTGCTGACATATGGTAGAGATATGCAGACATACTGGTAAGATTTGCTGACATATGGTAGAGATATGCAGACATACAGGTGAGATAGGGATACATACAGGTGAGATAAGGAGACATACAGTAGAGACAGGGAGACATACTGGTGAGAATTGTAGACATACAGTAATGATAGGGAGACATACAGGTGAGATTTGCAGACATACAGTAGAGACAGGCAGACATACAGGCGAGATACATTGTAGGCAGACATACAGTAGCGATAGGGAGACATACAGTAGAGACAGGCAGACATACAGGCGAGATACATTGTAGGCAGACATACAGTAGCGATAGGGAGACATACAGGTGAGATTTGCAGACATACAGTAGAGACAGGCAGACATACAGGTGAGATTTACAGACATACAGTAGAGATATGCAAGCATATTGACAATTCAGAGTGTTACAAGAACATGTAAAACTTACCTGACAAACGTGCCACCATTTTGACGAGGTTGCCGAGAGAAGCAGCCATCACTATTTCTCACGTGATAACCTTGTGTGTTCGACACCTGAATGTCCCCTGTCACGTGGCGCCTGCATCTCCCCGTGGTTCTGCACTTGAGTGTCGGAGCATACGGCATAGTTGCAATCAACAGTGAGCATTCCAAAATACAGGGTTTTTTCAGTTTTTTTTTCTTCTTTGAAAATTAATATCGCTGACAATACCACAAATTCACTGACATTGAAGTTTGTCAATGAGATTCAGACAAAATCATAATACACGACTAGCTGTAAACTGGGTCCGTGTTTGAATGAAACTCTTACGTTCATTTTGACGCAAACCCACTCCTTTGTTTTCAACATCCTCAAAAAAGTGTTATTTTCCATGTGGCAGAATTTTCATTGCTGATGATGTCGCTGATGAGAAAATACAGAGTGTTTATTTATTTCTGTTTTTCCTCTGTGTAAATTGTTTTGTAACAGTGACCTGAAAAATAACAAGTCCGGGTTAATCTTTCTGATTATAAATTCGCGTACAGTTTTAACATTATCTACATTTAATTTTGAAAAATATATATATTCATGGGGGAGGAAGGAGGGGGAGGGATCTCCAGAGGGATAGTGCAAAATGTGTTGGAAAGTTTTGGTATTTCAGTTGAGTTTTTCTTCTTTTTTTGTTTTGTTTTTGTTTGTTTTTGTTTTTTTTTTTCAAACACTGCTCTGAACAAATCCTCTGGAAAGATATAGCCCGTCTAACCGACAAGGGACGGTACCGCCTGCGAGTTGTAGGTATATTTGTACCTATCCTCACCGTCGACTTGTTTATAACATTACCAGACTTGAGGGAAAGGCACCAATGCTAACATTCGATCAGAGACATATATAACACATGTGATATATACGTCTCTGATTCGATACAAATAATCACTGCACCAAAGAGTTTCGAATAAAATATTGGTATACTATTTCAAACGTCTTACTATTGTATTTCATTGAATATACGTCCCACTTCTCTATACTACTAAACAAATTCTCAGGAGTATGATGTTTAGCTGAATACAAATTTCAAAACTGTTGCAAAATGGTATTATCTTAACTTCCGGCAAATATGTTTTCCATAAATTACGGATATCAATAGAGCGACCGTGATGTCGGATATCTTGGATTACCGGCAGACATGTCTGACACTTTCGGCGGAAGTAGTTTGGTGACTTTCCTGATTGGATATTACAAAAAGAAAGAATATTCTTTGCTGATTAAAGACATGCCAATTTAATTATTCAATTCTTGATTAATTTAAAGTGTATAACTGGCTCCATTCCTGTCCAGTTATCAGTTAATTGTTTTACGCCGTACTATCAGTCTCACATTTTCTATGAAATAGGTATAATCGTTACTAAGGCTAATCCTGGGATTAAACAATGATTACTGGCTTGTCACATATAATTGAATGAAAAATAAACAAGTTCATTGTAGTTTTTTATTACGTTTTACTGTCTGGAGCTGCGGCCTTATTCACTTGCATGTCGGCTACTTCTTGGTGAGTGACTTAAAATTCGCAGAAACAAGAGTTTGTTTTAAGTATACGACAAGGATTTGCTAGAGTCACCAAGATCAGTAACAGACTGATTGTCTATTTAGACTTGAAACCATTATTGTCAGGTAGCTCTCTATTAGATACAAATCTGTGATATACTGTGAACGGCGGGTGTACTGGAATTACTGCCGCTCGTTACCTTGAGGACTAGGAGACATAAGTCAATTTATTGTCAGTTCCATACCTACATTTACAACAATATGACCGAACACAGATGGAATGTCCCTACACTATTCTTCTCATTCGGTTCCAGTTATCGAAGGTATACGTTTTCAAATAGGTGGGATATTTCATTACAAGATCTCTACACATTTTACTTAAGATTTTAGCAGTTATTTCAGCATGGAAGCCGACAATATTTAGCTCAGTGTATACCATACTGATTAAATCTTAGCAAATATAATTGTACGTATCTACAGGAGCGATATTCTCCATGGGGAAGGTATCCTAACATGTATCTTGTCCATACTGTAATTTAAATTTATTTTGTCGCTACTTTTTAATGATAAGAAATCTGCTTTTAGGTTCCGGTTTATTGATTTTGCTATTTTTCCAAAACGTTGTCAATCAGAATATTGAGCAGATTCTGCTATCGTCACGTTTTAATGAGCAAGCAATGTACAACTCGAAAGCGGACTACATCAATGCAAGGAAACAGCGACCAGAAACATCGTAACACCGGATATAGCTACACGCAACAGCGACTAGAAACATCGGAACACCGGATATAGCTACACGAAACAGTGACCAGAAACATCGGTACACCGGATATAGCTACATGAAACAGCGACCAGAAACATCGGAACACCGGATATAGCTACACGAAACAGCGACCAGAAACATCATTACACCGGATATACCTATACGAAACAGCGACCAGAAACATTGGTACACCGGATATAGCTACATGAAACAGTGACCAGAAACATCGGTACACCAGATATAGCTACACAAAACAGCGACCAGAAACATCGTTACACCGGATATAGCTACACGAAACAGCGTTCAGAAACATCGTAATACCGGATATTGCTACACAAAACAGGGACCAGAAACATCGTAACACCGGATATAGCTACACGAAACAGCGACCAGAAACATCGTTACACCGGATATAGCTAGATGAAACAGTGACCAAGAACATCATTACACCGGGTATAGCTACACGAAACAGTGACCAGAAACATCGGTACACCGGATATAGCTACACAAAACAGCGACCAGGAACATTGTTACACCAGATATAGCTACACGAAACAGCGACCAGAAACATCGGTACACCGGATATAGCTAGATGAAACAGCGACCAGGAACATGATTACACCGGATATAGCTACACGAAAAAGCGACCAGAAACATCGGTACACCGGATATAGCTAGATGAAACAGCGACCAGGAACATGGTTACACCGGATATAGCTACACGAAAAAGCGACCAGAAACATCGGTACATCGGATATAGCTATACGCGAAGCGTAAAAGCAAAAAAACAAGACGGTGACTGACAGTGTCTCAATAAAGCCCTGTCTATAAGAGGGTTAGACAATTGTAATTATATAAACAGTGTCTCAATAAAGCCCTGTTATATTAGACAATTGTAATTATATAAACAATAATAAAGCCCTGTCTATAAGAGGGTGAGACAATTGTAATTATATAAACAGTGTCTCAATAAAGCCCTGTCTAAAGCCAATAAAGCCCTGTCTATAAGAGGGTGAGACAATTGTAATTATATAAACAGTGTCTCAATAAAGCCCTGTCTATAAGAGGGTGAGACAATTGTAATTATATAAACAGTGTCTCAATAAAGCCCTGTCTATAAGAGGGTGAGACAATTGTAATTATATAAACAGTGTCTCAATAAAGCCCTGTCTATAAGAGGGTTAGACAATTGTAATTATATAAACTGTCTATAAGACAGTGAGACAATTGTAATTATATAAACAGTGTCTCAATAAAGCCCTGTCTATAAGAGGGTTAGACAATTGTAATTATATAAACAGTGTCTCAATAAAGCCCTGTCTATAAGAGGGTTAGACAATTGTAATTATATAAACAGTGTCTCAATAAAGCCCTGTCTATAAGAGGGTGAGACAATTGTAATTATATAAACAGTGTCTCAATAAAGCCCTGTCTATAAGAGGGTTAGACAATTGTAATTATATAAACTGTCTATAAGACAGTGAGACAATTGTAATTATATAAACAGTGTCTCAATAAAGCCCTGTCTATAAGAGGGTTAGACAATTGTAATTATATAAACAGTGTCTCAATAAAGCCCTGTCTATAAGAGGGTTAGACAATTGTAATTATATAAACAGTGTCTCAATAAAGCCCTGTCTATAAGAGGGTTAGACAATTGTAATTATATAAACAGTGTCTCAATAAAGCCCTGTCTATAAGAGGGTTAGACAATTGTAATTATATAAAGTGTCTCAATAAAGCCCTGTCTATAAGAGGGTTAGACAATTGTAATTATTATATAAACAGTGTCTCAATAAAGCCCTGTCTATAAGAGGGTTAGACAATTGTAATTATATAAACAGTGTCTCAATAAAGCCCTGTCTATAAGAGGGTTAGACAATTGTAATTATATAAACAGTGTCTCAATAAAGCCCTGTCTATAAGAGGGTTAGACAATTGTAATTATATAAACAGTGTCTCAATAAAGCCCTGTCTATAAGACTGGTGAGACAATTGTAATTATATAAAGTGTCTCAATAAAGCCCTGTCTATAAGAGGGTTAGACAATTGTAATTATATAAACAGTGTCTCAATAAAGCCCTGTCTATAAGAGGGTTAGACAATTGTAATTATATAAACAGTGTCTCAATAAAGCCCTGTCTATAAGAGGGTTAGACAATTGTAATTATATAAACAGTGTCTCAATTGTAATTATATAAAGTGTCTCAATAAAGCCCTGTCTATAAGACTGGTGAGACAATTGTAATTATATAAACAGTGTCTCAATAAAGCCCTGTCTATAAGAGGGTTAGACAATTGTAATTATATAAACAGTGTCTCAATAAAGCCCTGTCTATAAGAGGGTTAGACAATTGTAATTATATAAACAGTGTCTCAATAAAGCCCTGTCTATAAGAGGGTAAGACAATTGTAATTATATAAACAGTGTCTCAATAAAGCCCTGTCTATAAGAGGGTTAGACAATTGTAATTATATAAACAGTGTCTCAATAAAGCCCTGTCTATAATACTGGTTAGACTATTGTAATTATATAAACAGTGTCTCAATAAAGCCCTGTCTATAAGAGGGTTAGACAATTGTAATTATATAAACAGTGTCTCAATAAAGCCCTGTCTATAAGAGGGTTAGACAATTGTAATTATATAAACAGTGTCTCAATAAAGCCCTGTCTATAAGAGGGTGAGACAATTGTAATTATATAAACAGTGTCTCAATAAAGCCCTGTCTATAAGAGGGTTAGACAATTGTAATTATATAAACTGTCTATCAGAGGGTGAGACAATTGTAATTATATAAAGTGTCTCAAAGCCCTGTCTATAAGACGGTGAGACAATTGTA